TGCGATCTCACCCAGTTTGAGTTGCAAAACTGACGTGACGTTTTTGTAAGTAAAGAATGTGAATTGTATATAGCCTAGTAAATCGTTTCTCTAATAATTAGAAAACAACACGTAAAATTATTAGCTAAGATTTATCCTTTTGTAAAGAACATTACGTAAACAATAAAATGAATTCTGTTACATTACGTTTAACTGACCCCTTCATATAGTTATATGAAATGTAATACTTATACGAAAATTAACACCGTTACAATAATAATAACAATAAATATTTATTTCAGGTACAATAAATCCATAGAATGTCAAAATTTTGGAATTAGATATTAAATAGCATATAAACAAATTATAACATTCAATACATACACCTAGAGATCCAATGTCGCAGTCTGGACGAGTCGCAACTACGAGCTATAATGCGATTAGCACTGTACAGCACTTTCTGTCTAAGAGAAGAAAATTTCTAAGCACTTTCTAAGCACAGTAGTAAACCCGTCTGATGCACTACAGTAATTTAAATGGCAAGGTACACTTCCTTAGTGTACTTGACCCACAGACTCACATTATATTTTTATTTTTGATTATGGGAGGATTTTTTTTTATAATATTAAGCGACGGGACGAACAAGTCGTGAGCTTGATGGTAAGCTACACCCCTGTCCAAAACAGTTGCAGTGCCACTCAGAGCTTTAAATCGCAAAAGATCTAAGGGGCACTGCCACTGCGCCCGTCACCCTGTAACATAAGTGGACAAATCCCATGTGCCCGTAATTTCACCAGCATCCTTACTCTTCAAAACCGGAACACAGTAATGCTGACGTTACTGCTTAAAGCAGAAATAGGTAAGGTGGCAGTACTACCCTGGATGAACTCTTTCACAAGGAGTTCTACTGCTACTAAAAATGTAAAAATGTAATGTTGAAGATTTATTATTGTAATTATCAATATTTATTTAATCAATATTACTGTATATCTACAAAAAGTAGTGGTAGTAGTAGTGGTGGAGAGAAGTACTAGGGAATTTAACTCTATCGCTTTAATCAAGTCGCATGATATGAAAATAAATACATATTTGAAATTTGTTTTACCGGGTATATTATGGTAAACTCTGTGGTGGGGGATGCTTTGTTCTTTAGTTAAAAAAATTATAAATTTTTGTCGCCAAGCAGTAATGTAAGCATTATTATGTTCCGGTTTTGAAGGGTCAAGGTGCTGGTGAAATTATAGGCACATGGGACTTGTCAACTTATATTTAAGGGTAACAGGCGAAGTAATAAAGTCACTCAGATCTTTGCGATTTAAAGCTTGTGTCACTTAACACGACTTGTTCGTCCTGTTACTTGATATCATAAAAAAATACGTGTCAAATACTCTATTACAATGTTATTGATTGTTGCTAGTGTCTATTAAAACCAGTTGAAAGATTACTTTATATAAGACTACAACATGCTAAATATGCAAAAATTGTTCGTCCTGGCACTTGGCTTCATAAAAAAAGATACGTATGAACTAATTACAATGTTATTGATTATTGCTAGAGGCTTTTATAATAGTCCAAAGATTACTTTACATGAGACAACAACTATAACATGCAAAATATGCAAATAATGATAATAACAACATGAAATTCATATTTGCCTTCCATTATCTATTTGTAGGTATGTTATAGTCTTTTTTTTGAGTAAAATTACATTTGTAGGATTGCCAGTTTGCATAAAATTTTAAATAGTTATGTAGTTGTTGTCGATAGTTTTATCTATTGATTGTGAAAGAAGACATAATTTTGCCAAAAATTACTGCATTGTGAATGTTACGACGTTCTAATGTTTACTAATTGCGTTATAACCTTCTTTATTCCTATTTTGACAGTTGGCCTACAAGTATCGAGATAATTTTTTATTCATATACATTTTAACAAGAATAGCCGGAATTAATTATCTATATTGAATTAAAATAAAAAACTTTTTAATATGTCTCCTCTTTATATTTTTCTTAAACGTGTTCTAAATACAGTACAATGACAATTCAATTGAACTTGCGCTCGGTAATTGGATGAATAATGAGTCGAGGATGACTCAAATGACACAAGCTCGGCTATTTGTTCCATAAGTGTGACCATGTTCAGTCGATAGTAGATAGAATATTAAATTTATCAACTGCAATCACTAGTTGCTCGCAAGCGGGCAACACTTTTGCGCAATGAACTGTCATTTTGCTCCGTCTTCACAAAAGACAGACTATAGTTACTATTTAGTGTCAATTATGTTCACTCTTCCTATCTTGTCTCCAGTACACACATACCCGCAAAAATAACATATTGAGATTGTAAAATAACAACGTTAATAAATTTAAATAAATAAAAATTAGACGTTAAGTAGCAAAGCTGCCTTACTCAATCTTTATTTAAAAATCGAAAGTAAACATTATTTAGATTTTGTGACAAAGAAGAAACAACTAAAAATTAAAAATTGTAACAGTGGAAATGGATCACCTTAAACTTTAATGAATAGAAAACCTTTTTCAACTGTTTTAAAAATTGACAAGAACGCAAAAGTTTTTACAAGGAAATTATAAATAAATGAAAAAAATACAGTCGATTATTTTTTTATTTTCAAATTAAGTCTGAAATAAAAAAGTTAAATAAGCAAACAAAGTTTCGAAAAACACTGTTTGAAGAACACAATTATTTTGGGGACTTAATTAGTGTTCCAACAAATCGTCGATGTTTTTGCAGTTATTAAAAGAATGTACGTCCTGTTTTAAATTGAATGTTATACCCTAAACAGGACGTAATTTTTTTGAAACAGTCATGAAAAACTAAAACATACTCCCCTGAAAAATGTTTTGAAATGGCACTTTCGCCCTTTCTACAAAACACCGACGAAATGTCCTGGTGCGTGTATTACTTAAAAAGAATTCTAAACTTTTTTATATTTATACTTATATACTACTTATGACTAATTATTCTACGGTAATGGTCAACAAATACATGCCATCTTCATTAATTAACTTTCATTAAATTAATCATCAATGATATTGATCTGTGATGTTACATTATTTGGAAAGGCACTTGGACTCTATATATATGAATAAGTAAAGGTGATGTCGTACAAGAATGTCCAGGAGAGGGTGTATTGTACAGCAGAGAAAGTACGAGAACATTCTAAAAGACAATAAAATAAGTTTGAAAACACAAAATGCACTCTCGCGCCTTCGCGACTTACAATAGCGAGAAATATAAAATATTAGATGTTCATCAAACTTACGATGCTTCATAGAAGTTTCAAAGAGCCATCGATATTGAAAACCGAACTGAAAATAACATTTCACCACAATATAATACAGGGTAAAGTCATCTGCGACATGAAAGAAACACATCGAAATTCTTAAGGGGAAATATTACTTTGCAATCGCGAAATTCTTTGCTGAAACAACTCGCGGGGAGGCAACGTTCATTCCGACAAAAGACGAGCAATATTCCGTACACAAAGGAAAGCAGCCGATATATTCAATGCAATGACACAAGAAATGGCGGCGCAAAGCGATAACAAAGCTCATATTGAGAGTTACATCACGGCAGAGCGGCCGCGGCCAGTCCGCAACACACCGCGCTGTACACCGCATCCGGAAAACAAATGCGGCTAAAACTTCGCCGTAGAGTAAGAAAGTGTCGGGCTAGTAGTTTTTATTAACCAAACTTAGTTAGGTTGGGAGATGCTTTGCAATTAATTAACATGCAACTTTGAATGTTTACGGCATCGTTACGTCCGTCATCTTTAATTAAAAGTGCTTTTTGTTACATTACTTCGCATTATTTTGAAACATATGATGTTGTTAAATATTTGAAGAAAATGCCCTTGGAATAAGCGACAATAAATTGTTGCCTAAGAAAATAACATGTGAACAATAACATGTGAACAATAACATGTTCCCATTGGATTTATTTAAAGAACAGTATAAGTATATCATAATATAAATATATATAAATATATCATAAATCAAAAATAAGCGATATATTATACGTAACAAAATACTAACTTACCAATCAAATAATCATTTTTGAAATTTTATATTAATGTCGAAACTTTTCTAATAGTAGATACTTAGAAAAAAGGGGAAAAAAATGTTTGATCCCAATAAATTTCGAACGCTAATCAGTTTAGCTTTCGTACAAGTTCAGAGTTTCTGAAATTATTCAGAAGAGAGACGCATGCGCGTGTTTTACGCGCCACCCCTTAAGGCTTACGACCGCCTCCCTTATAGGAGTATTACCTGCAAATTCGACTCTCAGATCTTGGGCATAGAAGTCTTCACTCAAGAGATTTGTCATCTTGTGAAAATTTTGAGATCCGAGTCATCCTCAGTTCTAAAGGCGTCATTATGCTCGCGTGCCAAGAATTAAATTTTCGTAGCTTATGCTGAGAATTCTCACTTCATCGTAGGCGACGGTTTTAAGCGCCATCGCTCAATCAAAATCAGACCTTGTGTTTGGTACCATAGGGTTGATTATTGTTTTGTTGCTCTACCAGGTTTAAGACAATTGTAGAGCATAGAGTAGAGAGCTCAGTCGGCTGCGAGCCCTGACACTGAGCGAACCGGCACTTTGCTCGCTTGCGCGCCGCGACCGCAACTTATTTCGTAGCACTCTACTCTTTATGATCTACGTTTTAAATTTAAATAGTGTAATTAAATAAAAGTATACTGAACTGAATTTCTTCATTAAGACGCAAAATTTTAGAACAGAAATTTAAAATTTTTATTTCTTTTATTAACTAAACACAACTTGATGTTATAAAACTATTTTATTATTATCGATGAAATTTTAACAGTTTTTTAGCAGGAATATAAGATTAATGCGTTTTATTTCATGAATCGAAATGAAAAAGTAGCAATTTTACTTTAGTGGTCTTCATTTATCGTTACCTGTACAGAACCATAATAAAGGTTGTAATAATTTTAGAATAGCATTGGACCCTCTCGTAAATATTTCACCAGTTCAATCCCCTTAAATTAAATTTATTGTCAAATTAAATTGTAGCTAAGTGTGTAAATAAATAAGAGTGGATGTAAATCGTAGTTAGCGTGTCGGGAGGTACGCGGAGCGCCGCTGGCTGGGCGGCGGCGGGCGCTACAGGCGGTGGCGGGCGAGACGGCATACTTGCCGTCTGCCTGACATTCCCCAGTTAATTAAAGCCCATTTGTACACTGTCTTGCAAAATATAATTTATGGAATGGGAAAATGTTGCTGCCGGTACGAATTATTTTATTTTCGAAAATATTCTGGTTAGTTAAACAATTTGTCGCTAACTTGAATTTTAAGCTTGTTTTCAAAGCCTTGATCAACGGCTTTGTACGCTTTTTAGTTAAACATAGAATGTCAGGAAAGTAAAAAACGTACTGGTTTGCTGATATTCATAAACAAAAGTCCCAACTCGTCTTTGTTGATTCCAAATAAGCCCGCCTCAATCTAAGGCTCCGCCTACTCGCTAAAGGTAAATATGTTCTAATATAAGCAGTCTTATATACTCGGGGGTATACAGTCCTTTTTCCTGTTCCGCGGGAATCTATGTATCAATATTTTTTTCAGTAACACAACTATTTATGGTATATACTTGCAGTTTGAACTTAGGTGTTGTTGCGATTAACCAAGACAACAAATGAAAACAGTAGCTTTATAAAAGTATTTAATGTCAGACAGTTGTGTTGAGATTGATTTAAATATAAAAGAATGACTAATATTTTAATATTAATTGCTCCAATAATATGTATAGTGAGAACGTGAACAAGTGAAGACAAAGCTTCGGTTACGAAAACGTTGGTTAACTAAAGACGCAGCGTTAAACAAAATCAACAGGACAGAAGTTTCGTGGCCGAAGGACGGCGCGATGTCGGAGAAAGCTGGTCGGTACTAACAAGCTAGCCACCTGAAGTTGTTAGTCTCCAACTGTGATAACCTCGCTATAGGTGATAGGAATAACTGGTGTATCTGTCCAAAAGTGGACAACTACACGCCAAGTCCCTTTGAAGTAGTTTCGCATGGATGCTGGTTGAAAGTTCAAGAATCGAAAGAAGGCTTATGCTGCGACCATGATGGAAACTCACTCTTTAGGACGGAATCGACAGACTCCTGCGGCCAGGAACCACATTGTCTATACCGATCATAAAGGAAGAAAGTAAGTATTTTTTTAATTTTGTTTTTTATTAAAGAAATAAATTAAAGAAATTCTTGTGTAATGTGCTAACTTTCTGATGTACATATTCGTTCATAATATCATCTTATTTTGCATCGTTTATTTTCTTCATTTTAATGATGCTGGTAACTCATTTCCATCACAAAATTTTCTAAAGTAGAAATGTTATTATATTTTTATATTACTAAATGATATACGAAAATCTTCTTTGCTCTTATTTTCACTCGCAGAGCAATAATTGTCTTACGATTATGTTTGCTAAGCGGCTTCAACTTGCTTTCGGAATTGCAAAACATAATTGAGTTTTAAAACACTACACCTTGAGTATAAACATATTTACAGGCTGTAAAACATAATGCGAACCATGTTCGTAACATTATGATTGTACTACTGAAGTTTTTCTGTAACTTTAGTAAACGTGTTGATTGTTGAGTAATTAATCCAAAGGGTTACAATTTAAACCTCTAAACCAAAACAAATGAGTCCTATTATTTCTCTCAATTTAGTCCAACAAGCGGCTGGGGCTGGGAGTCAAAGGTTCGCCGGAGCGCGGAACTCAATGGCCGTGAATTTGTAATCTTCATTATTTTCAACTGAACTTCACTTTCACTTCCTACCCACTTCTGTTTCTCTTAATTTAGTAGCACAACTTTTGAGAAGTACCAAAGTAGGACAAATTACCGTAATTTTCTGTTAGACGAGCTTTTTTGGCATTCTAACTGTTACGGATAGCTTGGTTAACTGTAAATTATCGTCAATTGTAATTATTATCGTCAAGTACTATTAAAATGGATCAAATTCAAGTCATTAAAGCACTAATGGCAAGGGTTGTACCACAGCGAAAGAACATATTTGTAACTCAGGCAAATCTAAGTATTAGTTAATGCTTGAACGTTGTCGGTTATGGTTGAATAAAAAGCTTATAAAAAATAATAGTAAAAAAACATGAAAAGGAGGCTATCACAATATTATAATCTCGGCGAGCGCCAGAAATAGTGTCATGAACAGACTCCTAAAATAAAGTATAAATCTCATGCTGTTCTCGAATGAATTATGTGTTCAACTCATAGGGAAAGAAATTTTCATATAAATTAAGTGTAGAAAGTTTGTAACCAGTGAAAGAAACGCGACCGTGATAAGTTTGTAGAACATTTAAATTCTTATGACGCCTCCAGCTACTTCGCGGTTTATGTTATTGTCTAGAGAATATCATTCATAACACAGATGCTGAAACTGTTTTTCAACTTTAAAGTCTATTCTCCTCGACAGGATTTTATTTTCATTACAATGTTGATGGTTTGTGAGGAAATGGCTCTACAACCATTTAAGATATTCCGATTTTATCGTGTGTATGGTCTCTTCGTTTGGTATCAATACTAAGTTTGTGATAATATTTCAGTCTAATAGAAGTCCTCATTCTTTTACGGTAAACATCGTCAATGTTTTTCATACGTGTAATAACATAATAATGAATTAAAATAAATTTCCTTCAGCTCAGGCGACGAGTTATTATAAAATATTTGAATAGCAACCGTCCCACAGCCCATTTGTACGGCTGGAGGAGAACGTATACTCAACAACTATTATCTGAACTATGAAAAAAGTCTGCCGATTTTGTTATTTGGGATGAGGTAGATTTTACTATTTGGAAATGATATGAATGAACTAAAGTCCGAGCTCATCTTAGATTCGCCAGGCGACATGGTTGAATGTGTGCCGCGGAAGGACAGTCGAGTTACTTGTACTTCCGTTAGTCACATTTTCGCAACAAGGTATTCACATTTCGAGGACTGGAAAGTTGGCGTTATCGCGTTTAAAATAGAACGACAAACACATCTAACTTTGTGATGCAAAATGAATACGGTTGGACAACGTTTTCGGTTTCTTTTGTCTTAGAAACTAATAAAACTTAAAATCCACGCGAATAATCAGACACTTGTCCAAATATCTTTTTTTATTAACTTTATTGTACCCCCCTTCACACATAAAGAAGTGTACGAAGTTAACAACATTTGTAAAAGTTGTAAAAGTGACTTTGTATATAACATAAAGTAATCTCTAGTTCATAAACTTAATATTACAGACAACAACAACAAGTAAATCTTTTTAGCATTTTCTTGAACACAAAAGATATTTCTCCAATGCTGGGACGGATTTGATTATACAGGTACTAGAGTGACAAACTTAAGCATTTTGCGTATTCGGTTGCGACACGTCCGGGTCGGGGATTCAACGGAACGAACATTATAAGTACGCGGTAAGTGTACAAATTGATTTATTGAAGTTCTGCGGCAGCTCTGTGCTTGTGTATTCGTAGTCATTTGCGTACACAGCGTATACAGATAAAGTTAAAATAAAAAAGAAACTTCACAAACAGAAATCCTCTTGTCGAGCTTTACGAGCCGACGCACCTCCGCATAAATAAGTTGTTCGTGAATTTTATGTTCCATTGCAAATACATAGTGCTTAATATTGAGCAAATTATATAATTAAAGTACAGAATTGATAATTCACTTTTCATTATGCGGCGTAGTAAGTTGTTTTCATTTTGTTACTTAGCTTTTAGTTGTGAATTGTAAAATAAAAACCTTGCATTACAATTTACGTATTGTGTGTAAAAGTAAATAGAACGTAGAACGCATTTTAGAGATCAATTCGTATCGTATAAGGTTAATGATCAAAAAGTTGAAACTACATTAGCGATCAATTTCCGACTAATACAACTGAAGGAAAGTTTTACTAAAACCAACAATTTGCTTTATGAAATCGGTGATAATTATGAAAAGTCACGCGAACACTGTTTTAGTTAGATGCGCATTGATTAATTCATCAAGGTGGTATGTGCTTGAAACTTTGAAGATACATGAGTCGGAGTATTTAAATCCTATTATATTACTGAAGATAAATTGCAAACCGATGATAATGAGTAAAATGATCGATAAAATTGAACGATAAGAGAGCTAGTGCAATCACAAACACAGGATATTTAAAATTTTCTGTCCCACGGTCGGCAACGCATAAGTATGAGAATATCAATAGGTAGTGGTTACCTTCCCTACTGACTGCCGGTTTCAATACTACAATTATAGTTAGTGTATTACTGTCGGCTCAACAAACGTGCATCTTTGTACAATAGCATAATAGCATACTTACTATAAATACAAAGAATAGAGTTTGAAATCGGCGTGATATTTATTCATTGAATTAACATTCCGCAACTGCAAGCACAATTTAAGCGTTATTTTCCGCCCAAAATTTCTGTTTGTCAATTAAAATATTTGGAATCACTGAAATCATTTCAATGGCGGTTAATTTGATTATTTGGAAAACTCGACAAGAGATAGCAAATTACTGTTTGTTAATATTTCTGATGCAACCGTTGAATTTGTGTCGCGTTAATTGTGCACCATTTGGGAATTAACATTTATAACAGACTAGCGACATTGTTACCTGTTTCGTAATTCGTAACATTTTCGTTTAATGTACCTAGTTTATTTAATACAAGCAAATCTTATATTATGGAAATTCAACGTCCTTTTTCATAGAGTCACATTGCAATGTATAACAACAAAGTAGTCTTAGGAGCTAGCAGTAATAATTAATTAATCCTACGGTGGAATATGGTATAGTAAAAAGGCAGGAGTAATCTGTGAGCATGTCCGCGGGGCGCAAACAGACCAAAGCCGGGGCTACGTGACGCGCAGCGCAATCGCACGTCGCTAATACAACCGCGTTTTCCGCCGATAATTACGAGATCTCATTATTAAAGGAACCAGCCATATTACTCTGTTACAAATGAATTAAATGTTGGTTTATACACATTATAGTTTCTTGAAATTACGTAACTCTGGCATGGTTTGCTGGAATACATTGGTTCGAATCCAGCCGAATCGAAGGATTTTTTTCTAAGTGTTCGATCTTTCTATTAATAATTATAACAAACTAGTAGTGTAATTTCACAAAAATAATTGAAAGTCATGGTGATCAATGATCAAACATAGTCACATTCAATAAAAAAAAAAAACTTGAATATTACGTAACTTTCGTACTCAATTATTAATTAATTTTTGCGTAGATTAGCTTTCAACTTATTTTTAATTATGAGGTAGTAAATTGTATAAACTACTTAATGTGCATTCAGTGAGCATAAGTTCTCTATACAATAGATGAATGAAAAAAGATTTATATCTCCAAAAGTACGTAAAATTAGCTGACGTTAAAGTCTCAGAGCGTCGACGTCAATCGGTGGACGACACTAGCGAATTTAAATTAACATCAACATCAGCCCGGCGCGTAGTTAACATACGAGTGTTGAGTGGAGTGGATTTATCGTGTGCAATCACAGTTCAGATGTTGGTATTCCATCCGAAACCCCCGAGAACTCGCATCGACTGAATTATTTACACGCATCCGGCTCTAGCCAAAGGAACCGATGCGACGCGAAGGGATATATAATCTTTATTCTCATCGACAACCTTTACCCCTTGGTAGATACTAGATTGAATTGAAATATATTTATTACAAAATCCCTTTGTTCTTTGTCATCGATGTTTTTTCCCATTCGCTTATTATTCTTGCTTCAGTTTGACTCTCTCACGTAACTTGTAACAAACACAAAGTACTGTGAGAGAAACAAAGAACTAAATTTAAACATAATTTACTAATTAGTAATATGAGCATATTACGCCTAAGGTGTAAAAATTGTATAATGCAATCTTTGTTAATATGTGTTCGCTCTTGCGATACACTTTTAAACAGATTATGTCTCGAGATCCCCTCACATAATCCATAATACTTAAGCTGTACGTAAGTTGTCGCAGAGTTTATGAGTGGAGCAAGCCGGTTCAACTTCGGCCTCTAACTTCAAGTACCCCGACGGCAGCGGGACACGCCCTCACGAATTACTTCCAAACGATTTCGCGATCTCTGAATAATCAGTTAAACTTGCACATCTGTGGTCTCTATTAAAAACTTGAGGAACG